TTCATCGATCTGCGCGAAAGGTAAATTTGAGATCAGTTTTTATCAATAGTTAAAGTGATATTATATTTAATTGCCATCAAAATGAGTTTTTTTTTCAAATCAATAATATATAATGATAATTAAATAATTAAATAAATATGACATAAATAATAAAATACCTAATACGAAAAGAAATTTTTATAAATGCACCTCATTGCTCGGAGGGTGCATTTATAGAGTCGACTGTATTTAATTTATACTTTAGGTAATAACAAATATGTAATTTTAAAAAATTGAATATAATCTAAATAATCATTATTTTATTGTGAAAATTTATTAATACTGCTTTTCTATATTCTTAGGTAATATATTGGAATTAATATTTAATTCAAATTTTTTTTTTTTTTTAGAAAATGACTTCGAAGATTCCGATTCAAAGTATATATTTATGATGTTGCAAATAACAATTATTATAATTTTAATTATAGTTTTTATTACTTACGAAACAAGGGATGCAAAGTATACAGTTCTTAGAATAATATGTACTACTCAAGATTTCATGAAAATTTTTATAAAAATCGATCATTTTTTTTTCATTTTCTTATTAGTAATCAACTCTTAATATTTGGTGGAATAAAAGGTCCATCTGCATATGAATTATTTTATTTGGATTTGTTTAAGTCATTTGATAATACAAACTTATCATGGAATTTAAACCCTGAAGGGAATCTTCCCATATCTACATCATTTTCAACTGCTAGCGTTAGTTTAGATAGTTCTACAGTATTTTTAATTAGAGGATTCATAAAGAATAAAAAAAAAAAAAGATTTGGATTTTTCAGACCTAGTTTATGCATAACTATCCTACTAAAAAATGGGAGTAATTGATAGTTTAGGAATTATATATAGTGGATATAATACCACTAATATAACAGAATCAGAATTTATAGGAACATTTTACAATGATATGAACACATTAAATACCACTACAATGACTTGGACAACTTTAAGCATATCCGAAAATCTAGCTTCAGGATGTGCTGGTTATTCAACTAATATTTTATCAAATGGAATTATTGGTTATATTGGTGGATTCGAATATTTGGCTGATTCTACAAATACAACTGCTATAAATGTAAATAATGTTAAATAAATAAATTATTTTTATAAATATTGATATTAATTCTTTACTATTTTCAAATAGATTAGACTTTTCGATACTAAAAAATATGAGTGGTCACAAATGGTATGTATTCGATATGAATTATAAAATATATAAAATATTTTAACTAAATAAATATAATATGCTTTATTTTAAGAATGCCGCTGATGAAACTGTTGATTCGAAGTGGTTTTTTACTTCTGCGTTAAGTAAGTGTCCAATTCATTTAAATTATTTTTTATCTTTAAAACATAAAATTTAAATTAAAATACTTTAATATTTTATATAACACCAGATAAGTATATTGTTATATTTGGAGGTTGTACATTTGAAGGGGAATTTAGTATTGTCAACTCTGTCAGCCCAAACCTTGCTGTGTTAGATACAAATAAATCTCCTTTTGAATGGTCCATTCCTGAAAGTTCCAAAATAAATTCTCCACCATCCATATGTGGACATGAAGCGAATTTATATTATAATTATATGATAGTTACATTTGGTTTTATACTTGGTAAGTAGATTTTAATAATTAATCATTTTTTTTAATTTAA